GTGACAACCTTATGGCCAAGAAGTCACGAAAATCCAGATATACGTGGAAACATTTTTGTGTTTGATGGGTGGGTTTTGTATGGCAAAATGTGCCAAAAAAGTTGCAAGGATGAAAGAAAAATCCCTGGAGAGTAAGTAACTCCAGATTGTGAGCAAAGATGGTATTTCCAGTTTTGTTCCTTCATTGTTTCCCGATACTTCCCCAGCTTCTCATCATGGCAGACAGATTATTAAGATAGGAACATGAAAAAAATTAAGATAGGATTGTGCTACAAAAAGCAGAAATATTGAGACATATGTTACATTGTTATATGACTTACTATCATTCTACAATGAGGTGGGCTTAGAATGCTGCCCTACTTGCTTTTTTGCTATGTTGGCATGGTGAGGTGATACGTTTCTGTATCCCCCATTGTACGCCAGAATTCTTAATGGCTAGGGGCACCTTGGTAGTGATAACAGGGTGGAAAAATAAAGCAGAGAGAGACCAAACAATAACCAGTCTTACCACTAGAAGATTCCCTAGGGGAAAGGATGTCATCATACAAGATTTATTTTAAAGAATAAAGAGAAGGCTTAATTAACAGGAAGGAAGAAGTGTGAAACCTACATCTTGATTCTGAGGATAAAAGAGAAGAGTCATTGACTAGGTGTTGAACTTGGCAGGTACCTTATGCAAATGGTAGCCATCATGGCTTTAGTACTGATACATCAAAGCAACCCCTATGTGTTAAAATCCAACAGGTTCCCCGTAATAGTCTATCAATTATAACAAGGCTCTCCAGAACAATTCTCCCTATATGTGCCGAATATATAGTAAATAGTTGCCTACTCCTCACTGGTTGGCCCCTTAATAGGGTAAGATAAGCATTGTCGTTTGTATTGAAATACAGTTCTGACCAGAAAAGATTTCTGTTCTCTAACAATTTTTCTATTTATCACCTACTTTATTATCTTTTATTAAATAAACTCTGTTTTTCAGCAATATTAATTCATGAATCTGATGTATCCTTGGGCAAAGCAGAAGATACAGCACCATTCTCTCTGAGGGCTTCACTGTGGGGAGGGAACCTGTTGCATACATCATTCCTCACCTTGGTCCTGAACAAAGCCTTTCTCTCTCTCATTTCATCATTAGAAGGTGGGTTACTTTCTTCTCAAAACGGCTGAGTTTTAAGACTGAGGGCAGCTGAGTGGAGGATGTGGGTCTCATTAAGCATTACAAAGAGTTAGGCTCACCTTGAGTCTCAGAGTACAATTTATCATCTGTTTCGTGAATCAAGACTATAGTCTGCTCTACTACAGAAGTAATAGCATCAGAATGGACAACCTATTACTTAAAAATTTTAGGTTATGCTGGGCACAAGGTGTTTGTGAGACAAACACTTTAATAAAAATATCTGACAGGCTCTTCTATTAGAATGACTGCTTATGGCTATCCACATCTAATATTGGCTGTAGAGAACATTAAAATGTCTTTTGCCAGTTTTAGAGGGATGGGCTGCAAGAGAAGACAGATTACTTCAGATTCTTTAAAAAGTCTTTTCACTGATACACAAACAAATGTCAGGCATAAAAAAAATGCCAAGCTATATATAAATTCAAATGTATTAGTGTTGAATCGGTTCAATCACACAATAGCATATTTATGAAAGAATGAATTAAAAATAAATATCTTTTTTATACATTAGAGCATTGAAGCCTTTATCTTTTGTAAATATCTTAATATTGGGAATAGACATAGATTTAGGTTATTAATATCTTTTAACACATTTGGAAAGACACTATTTTTTCTTTATATAAAAACATATTTTCATTTTTTAATGGGAAAGAAATTCACCTCAGTACATGTTTGTGTGTGTATATATATAGTATATATATTATATATGTAATATGTACTTATATTATTCCAATGTTTTAAAATATTGGCAAAGTAATGGGGATTCACTTTCTCCAAAGTTAATTTCTTTTCATGACTATATAATCGTAACACCAATAACCACTAATAAGGAATATCCTACTTTGAGCACAGTGGCGATGAATGGCTGATACTTTCTTTTTCTAATTGTTCCCTGCTAAGACAGAGATCACTTTAAAATGGGCAAAAAACTGACAAGAAGGATTACCAAGTGCATTCACACATTCCCCCCACCCTAGGACAAGAGGTCCCTGTACTCTGCAAACTCTAACAGTAACCTCCATCCAGAATACTACCAAGATTCTGGTCCTTTGCTCTCACTGGTCTTTTGCATTATCAGGTTCCCTGGAATCTTCGGTGAAACACTTAAAGCATCAGTTATTATGGTTATTTGGTATTGTTTTTTTAAGAAACAAAGAATTATCAAAAAATGTAAAACAAAAGTAGTAAGGTTAGAAAGTTCCCTTTTGTACTCTGTCTAAAATGATCATCAATCCCTGAGAATGCCCCTGGTTATTCAGAGTAAATAGACTTCTTGTTTATTCACAGGAGTGAATACTTTGTTCCCTGAGCAACTGTAATGGAACACTCATTTATAAAGTACAGCCAATTGGAAAAGGCTGGGTATGGGGTATAAGTAGTTAACTTCTTTCTTAAATGCTCCTGGTACTGACAATGATGGGTATACATACCTCTTCTGATTCCGGATCAGCCAGCATTTTTTACTACATATCAAGTGAATTCTAACAGTAAACAGAGCATCAATAATGTGTGAGTCCCCACCATATGATATAATAGCTAACCTCTCGGAGGTATTAATTACATCCCTATTGCTACTTCCCTGTGATCTGAATCCATTTCTTTTTTTCACATAGAAAATTTACTTCACAACTCTCTGCATTAGGTCCACTTTGTTGCCCTAAAGCAATATCCTGGTTGAGAATAGACTGGAGGATTCACACAAGAGCCTGCCAACCTATAAAGAACACAGACTGTGAAATTTGGTTCTAAAAATAAAGATCAATATGGTCTAAAGACATGTTTAGCTAATGACAAGGATCTTTGCTTCAATTCAGAAGAGTGATAATTTTCTCATAAATAATACGGAGACAATAAAACACCAGGGCATTCAGTCAAACCACACAGCATGACTGGATTTGTAACCATTGCTTTTTGCTACTGGGATCCTCTGGTACGCACCTTCATCCACTCCAAAACTATCTCCTGGAATCTTGAATATAAAGAAAAATGATAAAATGACAACATTTTCCCCAAAAATTATTCTTCTGAAAAGAGGGTTTTGCCTTGTTTTCTGGTCTTTCCAAATATTCTCATATTTTTTTTCAGATTCCTCTCCTATTCACTTTATTTTAAAAGCCAAAATACTGCTTGGAAAAGTGACATTGGCCTGAAACACCTCCATAAACACTAGTTTTGGGGGCTGTAGAGAGGGGCACCTGTCAGGATAGGTAAAATAAAGGTTTTAAAAAAGTGTTTCCACATACAGATGTAGTTGTAAACAAGACTTAAAAAGAAACTTCTAATGCATTGCAATTAGTTCCTAGAGATCCCCAAACATACAACTACAAAGAGAATTTTTGAAAACATTGTTTGAAGGCATGAATGAGTTCTTGTGTTTGAGACATTTCCTGAGACAGCAACAATCATAGATTCAAAAAGTACTGTATCGAAACATTCAGATGGAAGTAAAAATAACTGGCTCTGGAAAACTGGTAGATAACTCTAAATGTGCTGTGTGCTGATAACAAAACTCCGAAGGCCAAAGGCACATGGGAAAGGAGTGAATTAAGTGTTTTTGTAAATTATAAGTTTAAAAGAAAGGAAAATTTCTAACTCAATATGAGACTCTCAACATTTGCAACTAAATTAATGAATGTTAGAAGTAGTCATCCGAGTATTTCATCTACAACCCCCCAAATTCGTTTATTCATACTGGCCAAAATACCATTTTTGGATTTTGTCCCTCAGTATTTCCATAAGAACATCATCATCCTATTTCTCGCGGTTTATACAGTAGTGATTTCTATTGGTTCACTTTTTGAGGGAGGGTGAAGAGAACTCCTTTAAAAAAAATAAGTTTATATTCCCATCATTTTTTTCATCATTTTTTGTAATAGAAAGTGCTTAAAATTAAATTTCACTTTTCCAAAGTTTGATCTTCCTCATCCTCAAACTGGAAAGTTCAGAAGCTACTATCATATAGTGTAAGTTTCTGTGTTGAAAAGAGTAGACCACATTCCAAAAATAGGACATGAAGTAAGTCTTGCAATACCTTGCCCATGCATAAAATCTGTACATTCTTTTTTGTATACCTTGTATTCTTTGTATTTATCAATTTGCTTGGTAAATAGCATCTGTCACATAGGTGTCCCCATTTTAAGTACAATGGGTTAATTTGGCAGTAAGAAGAGAGTCACCCGCCGGTCAGATATTGGAATGCCTGTATTACTTTCCTCACAGTCAAGCATAACTCAGCACAAAGCATATCTGTTCTCGCCTCTGTCTTAAAAGTTCAAGTTAGTGAAGCACCAAGAGAAATTTTGTGTAAGACCATGTCAACTGCAAGGTGGTTCCATGGCCAAGATTTTGGTTATTGTTTCAGACCAGTGCCAGCTAGATGGGCTTTCAGGCTTAAATTTATGAATCACCACAACCTCTTACATGGTGAAGAATGAAAAGCTCACAGCACAGAGGAGTGAAGGCCAAGGAGTGAAGGCAGGAGATCCAACCTGTCTTTTGAGGTACTATGGTAAATTTTCTCAGAAAATTAATTTAAGAAATAAAGAATTCGTGGCACTAATCATCCACAAATATATTTGAAAGTCAACTGAACTAGTACATTATCTAATCATAGTAAAATTATTTGAAAAAATAATTTTGTGAAAAACATTCATTAAGTGAAAAAACTGTTGACTGCAACTTTTTTCTTCTTCTATTACTCTATTTGAAAGAGCATGATTGCTTGTATATGCTTCCACTTACTAAAACATTTTGCTTTGCCATCAGATCATTTCAAAACAGGAAATAAGTAAAAAGGAAAATGAATTAAAGATGCTTATACCTGAGAAATCTGCTGCTAAGAGATCTACTGCCTTTAAAACCTTCACTTGTAAAATGCCGATGTCCTTCATATCTTTCAAGGAATTCTGTAAGCACTGAGGGGGAGAAAAGTAGATCATACATGAAAATAGCTTTCTAATATACTATTTAATGCCATAAAGTCCTGTAGGAAGTACATTCTAGATTTATCATCACCTTTCTCGTGCAAAGATTAGTAAAGTTCCAGAGTACATTATATCAGCCAATGGGACAGTTAGGCATTCACAACAACCAGATTAAAAGTGACTGAGAATTAACTACAGCTTCAAAATAAACCAATTACAAAGCACACAGAATCTACTTTTAACACTGCCTGCTGGTGATAGAACAGATATCCCATGGGGAAAACGTGTGTGGAGCTCCATTCATTCTCTTTTCCCCTTTCTTTCTCTTGAATGAAACTTTTAAATCACTCAAAAAGGCCACACTAAGCACTGGTGTTATGCACAAACAATGAATCATGGAACACTGCATCAAAAACTAATGATGTAATGTATGGTGATTAGCATAACAATAAAAAATTATTTAAAAAAAAAGGCCACACTATTTTGACCTTATTAGTACAAACTTTATGGATACCAGAGGGCTCAACTTGGACCCTTCACAGATACGTATTACCACTGGAAAGAGCGTAAGGATGGAAATACAGTGTGTTTTCTGGTCCACGTTTTAGCCAGCTCATTAGAGACTGAGCATCTAGTATCACCCTGTATTCACATTTGATTTTTTTTTGTTTGCATGAGCCAATGCTTGAATGTATCTACTGATAATTCTTAAGCATGCAGAACAATAGTTTGCTGTGTATATACATTGCATCCTTCAGAAACAGTGCATGAAAGAGACAAGCAGATAAACTATTTCTGCATGCCTCCAGAACACATCTGCTGAAAAGATTCTGCTTTCAAACTTTTGGATATCGTATTTCCGCTATCATTGGATAACTAAAAACCTGTGATAAGCAGGCCTTGGGGATTTATGGGGAGACAGTAAAATCCTTGTTTTTTAGGCATTTCAGGATACAATAATAACTTAATAATAGTTCAGGTTTAACTAACTTCATATGCACCATTTCAGCAGTTTTGAAAGTTGTTTCTGCTGTGTACTTTCAACCTAACAAAGCAAAGCAAAACAAAAACAAAAAAACTAGTTTACACTAATCTGAAAACATCTGTAATAAAATACTTTTATAGTTTAAATGTGGACATGCCTTCAAGATGATCTATTCTTACAAGCTAAAAAACAAGAGGTCTGAAACTTGTGTTTTATGACGGGGCATTCTTTCCCTCTAAGATGCTGGCCAGCTCTCTAGCTGAAAAAACAAAACAAAACACTTGATACTTCTATTTTGATTGGCTTCTTCAAACCTATTTTCCCTGAGAACTCCTCACATCCTGAGGCATGATTCAAAGCAGTCATTATGATCTTATCTAAAATCACCTTATAAATATAGGACACCCCTCGTGAATTTGTAAATTTTTCAATTCGTCCATGGGAAAGTTTGGGGATAAATTTTAAGGTTTATCATCAAATTTTTATTTGCTTAACTCCAGTCATCAGAGAGACTATTAATAGTGGATTTTGTAGAAACTCCTTTGGGGCATGCCAACCGGGCCATGCAGAGTTTGTGTTGACAATAAGACGTGTGGCTAGGTTTTTGTACTCCCGCAGATAAGGAATTATTCAATTAATCAATACGCCTCACAGTGAAGGATTTGGGAGGCACTAAAGTTTATGCTGAGAATAATATTCCCATTAAATAGGGATTCATCTCTGCTTCATTTTCGAGCAACTTTCTAAAACATGCCTTTCGTGTGTGGCCATAAAATAAATGTATTGATTTACAAAGAAGGTGAATAAAAACAGAACGCAAATAAAGGCACCTAGAAAGACAGAGTACAAAAAAAAAAAATGAAGATCACAAAGCCATTTGATATAAAATTGCTGAGTAGCCTTCTAAGCGCATTGCACTACTTAGGCAAAAATCAGGAACTGCCTTTATTATCCAGAGTAGTACCTAACAGCTTTGCATAGCTGTCCAGGGTTTTGGTTTGCTTTGCTTTACAAGACAGAAGCACGTTCTCACTTGGTCCTGAGAGGTTCTGGAAAGGTAGCTCTAAATTTCAAATATTGTGGCTAATAAAAAAATAAACTTTTGTGAACTTGTATTAAAATTCCAATATACATATGCAGACATGCTAAACAAGTCTGCCTCCTCATGGATTTCCATTTTCTCCAAAGAGTTTCTACAAGCTAAAAATTCAAAATACCATTTTGGGCTTTGAAAATCGGCAGTTCTAATCTACTTTCACCTTCTCGCTAATGCATTAACCTCTGGATCCAATGTCTTGTTTTATGAGACATGCCATGAAACTCTGGACAAGGATCTCTCTTCAGGCAGTTTTTGTTTGTTTGTTTGTTTTTTTAATTCACAGACTTTGTTTCAACTCAAAAGTGGAGGCGGCGGGGGGCAGCGTAACAAGGCCAAGCACTCACATATCGCTGGGCAATCTGCTTTCTTTCGCCGGGGTCTGCCAAGGGGCACACGCACAGATCTGAGATGGAGACTCCGGCACAGGGAGTAAGTGTGATCAACATCAGGAGAGCCCCCAGGCAGCTCTCTAGAGGCAGCTCCAAGCAGTTGGCTTGCTTGAGCGGCAGGGCCGCGATATCCACTTTGCACCTGGAAAAGTTGGAGGAATCAGAGAAACAGAAGGGATTAACTCATGGCCACTCCTGAACCTCCAAAGCACCTGATTTGTATATCCTCATCCCCCCAAACCTCACTCTGTCTCAGCCTGGGTTTCTCACACAACGAAGGTGGTGGGGGCTCCCCCCTCCCCCCAGCTCTTAATTCTCCCTCCCACCCTAACACACTCTAAGATTAAGGAGACGAAGAGGTAAAGAAACCGAAGAGAAGGCAGCATGGAGGGGATGGTAAGTGCAAAGAGTCGGCTCTTTGCCCCCATGAGGTCTGCAGAAAGGCAGTGAGCTCAAGAAATAGGGAGAAAAAAGTTCCAAGTTCAAGCATTATGGATGAGGGATCTGTATGGCCTCTCTGTATTGTGTCTTTTGCCAACAAACAGAATAAAGGGTCACGGTTCAAAAAGGGGAGAAAAGACAAGAGAAATTCAAGTGGCAAAGGGCTCACTGGAGAAACTATTTTCTTCCAGATTAATGCCAACTGGTGAGTTTTTATTTAAAGCAACATGTTAAGGTGTTTTCCTAATAGGCACAGTGCCACAGGGTTTCCCCAGGTGGATTGCTTCTGGACAAATGGAGCATGAAGTGCTGTTGATTGATCCCATTTCAGCAACACTGCCAGGAAAAGGCTTCACCCATCTGCTATAAATTGCATGTTTTCCGTCTCTTAACAGCCAATGTTCTGGCGATGTTGAAAACCTCAAACACATTTATATACAGAAACAAACACCAAAAAGGAGGGCTGAGGTGGTAAGCCATTTATTTGCTTTAACACTGAAAACTCTGGGTTTGCCTGGACCACACCTGCTTTGTTTATGCACAGGTGGGCGGAAAAGGTAGGGTAGAGTCGAGGGAGGGAGAGTAGGTAGTGGTGGTTCCCAGCTGTGATACGTGTGTGCATGTGCCTGTGCGTGTAATTCCCATTTTCCCTCCATCGTTATTGAAGAAGATGAATATTCAAGACTTTATAAAGGGAGAACTGCCTCTCACGATGTAAGATGAGGATGGATTCTCATCCTAAATCTTCAATGAACTTTGTATGTTTGCAGATATTTAAAAATAGGTAATTTTACCTAACATATAAAGCAAGGACAATTTTGAGCCACATGGTATCTAATGAGTTCCAGTTTAATACATTTGAAACCTTGCAATCCCTTCCCAATTAAAGAGAAAAACTATCCATAATATCAAGAATCTATACCAGTTTTTACTACAGAATAAAATATATTTTAATATTGATATGTACCTATAAAATTAAATGTGTATTTATTTCCTAATTACCAAAAGTGATTCCAGTTAAAAGAAGAGGTGGCAAATTAGAGCTTTTGCATGTAATAAATTCATCAAGAATTTCTATCAGAGACACATCACAAAAAATACATCTTTTTAATTAATCCTCTCTGCTTTGAATCAAAACATTTTTTGTGTGTGTAGCAATAAAGAACCTTTTAAAGTTTGCTACCATGAAAATAGGGGTTACTATTTTTCTTTTATTTCATAAGCATGTAAGTAAGGAATGAATTTTGCTTATAAAGAAAGAAATGTCACATGCTTTAAGCCAATGCTACAAAACCACCCACAAATTCTTAACCAATATAGCAATAGCACATCTGCTTAGGAACACTTTGCTAAGCATTATTTTACATCGTTATATACACCTTCATTGAACAAAGCTCTTTCTTACAGAAAGATAAACGATCCAACTTTGTAAGAATTTTTTTCTGGTGGTCACTTTCATTAGTCCAAATTAGCAATAACCTATTTATGGCAAAATCACCTTAATATCATTAGTAATGACAATTTATTTTCATCCTTTGAGTTCCACCTTTCTGTTCTAGTGGTGGTTTTAACAACCAGAAGTTACTTGGAGATAAGAGACAAATAATGTTTGGGAGTTGAAAACGATGCACACGGTAAATTTCTCTTGGATAATTCAGAATGAACCTTATGTTAATTCTAAAAAGTCATCTAAAAAGACTGAGCAATATTAGCATTTTTACAATAACTATGCACACTCCCCCAGTGCCTGTTTCAAGGCACAACTCGTCAGAATAGAGCAGTTGATTATTTTAAACAAAAGTTGAATCACGTACCAGACAAAATGCAAAGTAAACACTGGGTTTTGCCTTAGAAATCACACATTTCTACAAACTTTTTCGTCATGTCTCTCTCCTATGAAACTTTTGCACCTATCCCATTTCTAAAGACTATCTGGATGGAAGAAAGAACACCTGCATGAAAACAGCCCTGCCTATTTTAGATAAAACAATCTCCACAAACAACAGATTGGGGATTTCTGCACAAACCTAATGGATTCTACATGCTCAGTTAACTAATGAGTGGATTCAGTCAAATATTTTTACTTCCATAGTGACTTGAAAGAACAAATTAAACTGACAGCCATCGTATCATAATTAAACGATCCTTTTGCACGTGGGTTATGACCCAGGCTCCTAGGGTACCTGCCCCATTATGAGAATTGGTATCTTCAGAATTAAGGATTAATTTACAGCTACCCTCTCCCTAGTGTGAACAACCAGCTCCCCTCTAAAGATGGCATTTTTTTTTGTTCTGTTTTTTGGTTTTTTGTAGGCTCCATACGGAATGTGGGGCTTGAACTTACAACACTGAGATCAATGGTCATGTGCTCTACCAACTAAGCCAGACAGGCACCCCCTCTAAAGATGACTTTCTACAACTGAATTACCCTCTGCCTCTCACCTACCCACCTGGCTTCCACATTTACTCCCACATTCTGGAAGAAAGGAGGAAAGCTGGAAGTAAGAAATGAATTCCACATAAGAACCTCTCCTCCAGGCCTCCCATTTTACCCTATTTCAATCTCAGTCCACATTGTTCTAGCTCATCCTCATGTCTGAAGGAAAACCAGAAGCTCTGGAGGTTAGCCAGAGGCTGGAAGAATTATTTATATTAACTCCAAGCTAGGAAGAGGTACTGCATTATCAGCAAACGCAGAAGAAAAAAAAAAAAATTAAAGAGGATTTGTCTCATGCAAACTGGTGCAGCCACTGTGGAAAACAGTGTGGAGGTTCCTCAAAAAGGTAAAAATAGAACTACCTTATGATCCAGCAATTGCACTACTGAGTATTTACCCAAAGAATACAAGAACACTAATTCAAAGGGATACATGAACCCCTGTGTTTAGAGCAGCATTATTTACAATAGCCAAGATATGGAAGCAGACCAAGCGTCCATTGATTGATGAATAGAAAAAGATGATGTGGTATATATATGTAATGGAATATTAGCTATAAAGAATGGAATCTCGCCATTTGCAATGGCATGGATGTTGCTACACAGTATAATGCTAAGTGAAAGAAGTCAGTCAGAGAAAGACAAATATACGATTTCACTCATATGTGGAATTTAAGAAACAAAACAACCAACCAAAGGAAAAAAGAGCGACCGACCAAGAAACAGACTCTTAACTGTAGAGAACACACTGCTGGTCACCAGAGGGGAGGTGAGTGGGAGGATAGGGGAAACAGGTGATGGGGATGAAGGAGGGCACTTGTGATGAGCACAGGGTGATGTACAGAAGTGCTGAATCACTATATTTTACACCTGACACGACTATAACACTGTATGTCAACTCACTGGAATTAAAATAAAAACTTAAAAAAATAAAAATAAAAGATACAAAGGATTTGTCTTTCAGCATTTCTGATGTTATCACCGTAATACTCACTGAACCTCCTGAAGAAAGGTAAGTATTGTGTGAACAAAGTATCTTTTTTTGAGGTTCAAGGTAAGTACTCTAAAGTCTAAAATCTTTATGATATGAGATAATCTGAAATACATCCATTGAAGACATTTTTAATACAAAAATTTGGAAAGGAGAATTTAGGTTGTGTCTTCCATTTTCTAAAGGGTATCAAATTCTGCCCTGAGAAAATACTAAATGATTTAGTTGGTCTCTTAATTCTCTTTTGGTAGTACTGACTCACTACAGAATCTGTTGTTCTTTCCCAGGGCTTTATCTGTTTAGTTACTTGTTATGGGCAGAGTGCAGGAGGAGCTTCTGAGAACGCTAGAACAGATTCAGCCCAGGTTCAGGGGCAAATTAAAACACCACCTACTCCTCCCGTCTTTCTCATTCCAATAAACACCACGGACTGCTGTCTAATTCCAGAATTTTACAAGTGGTGTTATGTATTTGCTTTCCTTCCATTTTGCATCCTCTAAATTTCTTCCCAAACTCTACACAAATGGCTGCCTTTTAGAAGCATTTATGAAAGCTGAGCTTACTAATGTATATGCAAATTTTCATTGAAAAATAATATAGCAGTAGCTATATCAGTTTTAAGGTATATGGTCTCAATGGCTCTCATAATGAATTCTTCAATTATCACATCAATTAATAAATAATACTTAAACTATTTTTTTTCTAGGAAGAGCCATAAAGCAATTTAAAGTTGATGGGCCATGTGGTCTCTGTTGAAACTACTCAAGTCCCCTTGTAGCATGAAAGCAGTAATAGACAATGTAAACAAACAAGGCTGTTACCCAATAAAACTTTATTCAAAAACAGGCAGCCATCTGGATTTGGCCCATGGGCCCTAGTTTGCTGACCCCTGATCTGGAGACATGTTAATAATTTGGCTGTGGCGAATTACATCCATGTTAGCATCTTAAAAATGTACAAGGTTGGTTGCTGACAATACAAAGACATTGACAAAACCATCAGGGAAACTGACCTAAAGATAATTTTGAAAGCATAACTTTTTAATTCTTTATTTAAGAAATCCCTAGACCCCACATGGGACTTGAACTCATGATCCCAAGATCAAGACTCACATGCTCTTCCAACTGAGCCAGCCAGGCACCCCGAAAGCATAGCTTTTAACTCACCATAGCCCAAGAAACTCTGGCCAACATATCCAATGATGCACTGAATAAAAACCGATAAAGCCATAAAACTTATAAAACTGCTCTTCTTTCTGTTGAGAACAACATGGA